GATGGGGATGGGTTGGAGATGATGGAGATGGAGATGGAGGTGATGGAGATGGGTTGGAGACGATGGAGATGATGGGGATGGGTTGGAGATGATGGAGATGATGGCGATGGGTTGGAGATGGAGATGATGGAGATGATGGAGATGGAGATGATGGAGATTGAGATCATGGAGATGGGTTGGAGATGATGGAGTAAGAGATGATGGAGATGGATTGGAGATGATGGAGTAAGAGATGATGGAGATGGAGGTGATAGAGATGGGGTGGAGATGGGGTGGGGATGATGGAGATGGGGTGTGGAGATGGGAATCATGGGAACGAGATGGAAATGGAGATAGAGATGGTCGGAGATGAAGCAGATGAGATGGAGATGGAGACAGTGATGGAGATGATGGAGATGAGATGGGGATGGGGGTGGAGATGATGGAGATGGAAATTATGGAGATGAGGATGAAGATGGAGATGGGGTGGAGATGATGATATAGAGGTGATGGAGATGGAGGTGATAGAGATGGGGTGGAGATAGGGGTGGAGATGACGGAGATGAGATGGAAATGGGATGGAGATGGGGACAGTGATGGAGATTATGAAATGAGATGGGGATGGGGGTGGAGATGGAGATGGAGATGGAGATGATGGAGATGGGATGGAGGTAAGATGGAGATTGAGATGGATTGGAGATGATGGAGAAGGACATGAGAGTGGAGATGATGGAGATGGAGGTGGTGAGCATGGGGGTGGAGATTATGGAGATGAGATGGGGATGGAGTGGAGATGGAGGTGATGGAGATGGAGATGGAGATGATGGAGATAGATGAGATGGAGATGACGGAGATGGAGATGATGGAGATGGGATGGAGATGATGGAGAGGGAAGTGGTGGAGATGGAGGTGATGGAGATGGAGATGATGGAGATGGAGATGATGAAGATGATGAAGATGGAGGTGACAGAGATGGAGATGATGGAGATGGGATGGAGATGACGGAGATGGAGATGATGGAGATGGGATGGAGATGATGGAGATGGAGATGGAGATGACGGAGATGGAGATGATGGAGATGGAGATGATGATGGAGAGGGAAGTGGTGGAGATGACGGAGATGGAGATGATGGAGATGATGGAGATGGAGGTGACAGAGATGGAGATGATGGAGATGGAGGTGATGGAGATGGAGGTGATGGAGATGGAGATGATGGAGATGGAGGTGACAGAGATGGAGATGATGGAGATGGGATGGAGATAGATGGGATGGAGATGACGGAGATGGAGATGATGGAGATGGAGGTGACAGAGATGGAGATGATGGAGATGGGATGGAGATGATGGAGATGGGATGGAGATGACGGAGATGGAGATGATGGAGATGAAGTTGGGGATTGGACACGGATGCAGACAGACACAAAGATGAAGACGAAGAGCACAAAGCCAACAACAACAGAGATGGGGATGAAGGCATGAAGGTGTGAAGATCAAGACGAGGAGATTGTGCTGCCCCCATCCCCGGTGCCCTCCCGGCGCCCTCCCCGGCGCCGCCGTGGCCGTACCGTGGTGAGGCGCCGCAGGGAGCTGAACCTCTCCTCCCAGGCGGCCGCCGCCTTGCGGAAGGCCTCGTGCCGCCGGATCAGCTGCTCCACCTCGTCCACGCTGCTGCCCAGCTCCTGGCTCTTGAGCAGCGGCTCCTGGGCCGTCAGCCACGCGTCGGCCACCACGGCCTCCTGCGCGAACTGGTGCACCTCGCGCACTGCCGGCACAGCCGCGCGGGGGCTGGGGTCACCCGTGATGCGGTGGCCTTCGTAACTGGGCGTCACCCGTGGTCGGGTGGCTCCTCGTAGTTTGGTGTCACCCAGAATTTGGTGTCACCCGTAGTTTGGTGTTTCTCGTAATTTGGTGTTCCCCGGAATTTGGTGTCACCCAGAATTTGGTGTCACCCATAGTTTGGTGTCACCCATAACCCTGTGACTCCCCATAAATTGACTCCCAAGACCCAACGTCCACCCAGCACCCAGTGTCCACCCAACACCCAGTGTCCACACAGCACCCAATGCCCACCCAACACTCAGTGTCCACCCAATGCCCACCCAACACCCAATGTCCACCCAACGCCCACCCAACACCCAATGCCCACCCAGCACCCAACATCCACCCAACATCCAATGCCCACCCAGCACCCAACATCCACCCAACATCCAATGCCCACACAACACCCAATGTCCACCCAACACCCAATGTCCACCCAACACCCAATGCCCACTCAACACCCAACATCCACCCGACACCCAATGTCCACCCCAACACCCAATGCCCACCCAACACCCAATGCCCACCCAACACCCAATGTCCACCCGACACCCAATGTCCACCCCAGCACCCAATGCCCACCCAACACCCAACATCCACCCAACACCCAATGTCCACCCAACATCCACCCAACACCCAACATCCACCCAACACCCAACGTCCACACAGCACCCAATGTCCACCCCAAGACCCGGTGACCCTCCAAGACTCAAAAACCTTCTGATGTCCCCTCAGCACCCAGTGACCCCTCGGTGTCGCCCCGGGGTGCTGGCACTCACTCTGCTGCAGCCACTCCCAGTGCTTGTCCCACTTCTCCGTCATCTCCTTCTTCTTCGCCAGGAGCTTCTCCATGTGGGATTTGATCTGTGGGGAAGGGCGTGGGGTGGGGGGACGTGGGTCAGGACACCCCAAAAGTTCCACCACGCCCCCTCCCCACATCTCCCACCCCGCCCCGGGCACCTCATCGGCCGCCGGGCTCTTGCTGAGGATCAGGGTCTTGCCCAGCTCCAGGCAGGTGGCCACGTTCTTGGCCCGCGCCTCCATCTCCGTCTTGAGGCTTTGGTGGTCGTTCATCAGCAGCTCCACCGAGGACACGTCCCTGGGGCACGGGAGGGACAAGGGTGGCACCAAACCCCGACGCGGGGTGGGGATGGACGGGGGGGTCCTTGGTGGCTGGGAGGGGACTTTGGGTTGGGGAAGGGTGTGGGGTCCTCCTGGTGGGACAGGACTGGGTCCTTGGGTCCCTGATGGGACAGGACCCAGATCCTCAGAGGGACCAGGACCCAGGCCCTTGGGATAGACCAGGACTTGGTCCATGGGTCCATGGTGGGACAGGACCCAGATCCTCAGAGGGACCAGGACAAGGGACCTTGGGGTGGCCAGGACACGAGACCTTGGGATGGACCAAGACTTGGTCCTTGGGTTCATGTGGGACAGGACTGGAGTCTTCAGATGGGCCAGGACAAAGGACCTTGGGATGGACCAGGACTTGGTCCTTGGGCCCCTGGTGGGACAGGACCCAGATCCTCAGAGGGACCAGGACCAGGGACCTTGGGATGGACCAGGACACGAGACCCTGGGCCCCTGGTGGGACAGAACCTGAGTCCTCAGATGAACCAGGACAAGGGACCTTGGCATGGACCAGGACATGTCCTTGGGTCAAGGTTGGGACAGGACCCAGGACCTTGGAATGGACCAGGACTTGGTCTTTGAATCCATGGTGGGACAGGAAATGGGAAGTTGAGATGGACCAGGACACAAGACCTTGGGATGAGCCAGGACTTGGTCCTGGGGTCCATGACAGGCCAGGACTTGGTCCTTGGGTCTGTGGTGGGACAGGATCCAGCTCCTCAGATGGATCAGGACCAGGGACCTTGGGATGGACCAGGACACGAGACCCTGGGCCCCTGGTGGGACAGAACCTGAGTCCTCAGATGGGCCAGGACATGGAATGGTGGCACCATGAGAGACCAGGACTTGGTCCTTGGGTCTGTGGTGGGACAGGATCCGAATCCTCAGATGGACCAGGACCAGGGACCTTGGCATGGACCAAGACTTGGAGAAATCCTTGGGTCCATGAGAAGCCAGGACTTGGTCCTTGGACCCCTGGTGGGACAGGATCCAGATCCTCTGGGATGGGCCAGGAGTTGGTCCATGGTGGAACAGGACACGGGACCTTGGAATGGACCAGGACTTGGTCTTTGAATCCATGGTGGACAGGAAATGGGAAGTTGAGATGGACCAGGACAAGGGACCTTGGGATGGGCCAGGACTTGGTCCTGGGGTCCATGGTGGGACACGACCCAGATCCTCAGATGGACCAGGACATGGAATGGTGGCACCATGAGAGGCCAGGACTTGGTCCTTGGGTCTGTGGTGGGACAGGATCCGGATCCTCAGATGATCCAGGACAAGGGACCTTGGGATGGACCAAGACTTGGAGAAATCCTTGGATCCATGAGAAGCCAGGACTTGGTCCTTGGGTCCATGGTGGGACAGGACCAGAATCCTCAGATGAACCAGGACCAGGGACCTTGGCATGGACCACGACATGTCCTTGGGTCAAGGTTGGGACAGGACCCAGGACCTTGGGATAGGCCAGGACTTGGTCTTTGAATCCATGGTGGGACAGGAAATGGGATGTTGAGATGGACCAGGACAAGGGACCTTGGGATGGGCCAGGACTTGGTCCATGGGAGCTTGGAATGGACCAGGACTTGGTCCTGGGGTCCATGGTGGGACAGGACCCAGATCCTCAGATGGGCCAGGACATGGAATGGTGGCACCATGAGAGACCAGGACTTGGTCCTTGGGTCTGTGGTGGGACAGGATCCGGATCCTCAGATGGACCAGGACAAGGGACCTTGGGATGGACCAGGACTTGATCCTTGGACCCCTGGTGGGACAGGACACGGGACCTTGGGATAGGCCAGGACTTGGTCCATGGGACCTTGGAATGGACCAGGACTTGTCCTTGGGTCCATCTGGGACAGGACCAGAATCCTCGCATGGACCAGGACTT